CATTGCTTAATAATTCCTATTGTCAGGAAATTGTTCCTTATTTCCAATCTGGATTTTCCCCTGATGAGCTTCCAACCATTGCATCTTGTCCTACCTTCAGGTGCTGTGGAGAATAAATCAATGTCTCCTTCTCTATGGCAGCTTTTCATGTATTACTAGATAGATTATAAGATTACTATCATGCCTCCCCTCGGTTTCTTTTCTTTTCTTTTTTTTAAGGAAAAACATCCTTAATTCCTTTAGCCATTTTTCATAAAACTTAGCTTCCAAACCCTTTGTCATCTCTGTTGCTTTTCTCTGTACTCTTTCTAGGGCGTCAGCATAACTTTTGTACTTCAGTGACCAGAATTGTACACAGTATTCCAAATGTGCCTTCTAGAACAATGCTAACATGCCCTGTGATCTTGATCTATTCCTCTCTTGATGAAACCTAGGAATACATTGACTTTTTGTTGTTAACTCCATTGTTCCCTTTTGCTTTATTTATGGGTAGCAGGGCTTTTGCATAAGTCATTTAATAGCCAGAAACTGCCATGATATTTCTTTCCATTCTACCATCAAACTACTAAACTGTTTCCTCTGCTTATCCAGAGTACAATCTCTTAGTACCTTGCGCTATGTTTTGTGAAGTATAACTAACCTTGATTGTTTCTTTCAGCCAAGAGATCCTCCATATTTATGCTTTTTAGTTCAGATCTAAAATTAAACTGTGGTTTGCTAAGTTTATAAATTTATTCTTTACAATCAAAGGAATTCCTTTCTAGCATTTCTTACTCAGATGCCTAAGCTATGTTTCCATAATCAGGAAGAATTCCGTATTTCTTTTCCTGAACTTTAATTTTCCTTACAGAACTATGTGGCCTTGTACATTTAATGAAACATTGATGCTGATAATGGATGTGACAAATTAATACCTGCTTATATATATTCAAGGGACACGGTGGCTCTGTAGCTAAGACACTGAGCTTGTTGATTAAAATGTCAGCAGTTCAGCAGTTCAAATCCCTAGTGCCACGTAACGGGGTGAGTTCCCGTTACTTGTCCCAGCTTCTGCCAACCTAGCAGTTCGAAGTACATAAAAAATGCAAGTAGAAAAATAAGGGACCACCTTTGGTGGAAAGGTAACAGTGTTCCGTGCGCCTTTGACATTTAGTCATGCGGGCCACATGACCATGGAGACGTCTTCAGACAGTGCTGGCTCTTCGGCTTTGAAACAGAGATGAGCACCGTTCCTTAGAATTGGGAACGATTAGCACATATCTGCAAGGGGAATCTTTACCTTTACCTTTATATATATTCAAGCAAATCATTTTAGTATCTTGAAAGGGCTGTATTATACCTATAAACTGCTGGATTTGGGACCAATATAAGTGTAGTAAGGAATTTAAGAGTATTCCCTATGGGGAACTGTTTCTTGTTGTGAATCATTTTGCTGTAGTTTTACAGTTTCAGTATGACAGAATGGAAACCAGTAATTTCATATGATGAATCTGAATGCACAAATATTTTGTCTGGTAAGTCATTATATGATGCAGATTTCTTTGAAGGACTTGATAGGCATGAAATGGAAGCCTAATAGTTATTCAAGATAAACATTCACCTCGAACAGCACTTTTCCATCCTTACAAAATATTGTTTCCTCTATGAACTGAACCTGATATCTGTAGGGAATTGAGAGTTTAAGAAAAAAATTTTTTTTTACATATTTAATAAATGTTCATCTTATGCTATTGGAAAGAGAATGTTACAAAGAAAAGAATAGTTAAAATAGTTAATAAGCAGATATTACCAAGTTTGGTTTGCTCAAGATAGAATTTCACTAGAAGGCATAGAACTACAATTAAACCATGTTATTAAAAATTCCTAGATACATCTGAAAAGCAATTTAGGGACGGAAAAACCAGATAACATCAAAGGAGCTAAGTGGCTTATTTGTATAATCATTTATATACCTGAGTGAATAAAAGGAACATTTAGTTAATCTTCTCAATGTCATGTGTAGGAATGAATTTATGAACTCTCTGATACCATTATTAAAGGCCAGGCCACAAAGACCACATTTCCATTATATATTTTGAGGCAGAAATTCTGAGCAGAAGGAATGAAATTTAATGATAAATATAACTCACTAGAAATGCCTTTTTAAAATCAAATATTGAACATAGGAGATATTTCAATTCTCACATTACTTTATAATGACTTTGAGATAAGGGTGAATAACTAAAGTCTTCTCAAGTCAAGTTCAACTCCTTTTGATTTTATGGATATATTTTTGCTGCTTTCTTGATGAAAGAGTGATTTGTCACTGTCTTCTGGGATTTTCTTCTCTTTTTAATGTTTTTAGCATCTCAAGCCTAGCTATGAGAAAATAATAATGGTGACTTTTCTTATGTCTTTGTTTGGACTAAATCTAGATTTTTAGTATAGGATAATGACTGTTGCATTAAAGTTCTTGGAAAAATTATGTAAGGATGTTATGTTATATGATGTCATGTTCTGTTGTTCTTTTCTGTATGTTATGTTATATTATAGTAACAACAGAATAACAGAGTTGGAAAGCACCTTGGAGGTCTTCTAGTCCAACTCCCTGCTCAGGCAGGAGACACTATGCCTATACCATTTCAGACAAATGGTTGTCCAATCTCTTTTTAAAAACTTCCAGTTTTGGAGCATTCACAACTTCTGGAGGCAAGTTGTTCCACTGATTAATTGTTTTGTCAAGAAATTTCTCCCTAGTTCTAGGTTGGTTCTCTCCTTGATTAGTTTCTATCCATTGCTTTCTGTTATGCCTTCAGGTGCTTTGGAGAATAACTTGACTCCCTCTTCTTTGTGGCAACCTCTGAGATATTGGAACACTGCTATCATGTCGCCCCTAATCCTTCTTTTCATCAGACTAGACCAGTGTTTCCCAAACTTGACCCTTTGAAGATGTATGGACTTCAACTCCCAGAATTCCTCAACCAGGCATACTGGTTGGGGAATTCTGGGAATTGAAGTCCATGCATCTTAAAATAGCCAAGTTTGGGAAACACTGGACTAGACATACCCAATTCTAGCAACCGTTCTTTATATATTTTAGCCTTCAGTCTCCTAATCATCTTTGTTGCTCTTCTCTGTACTCTTTCTAGAGTCTCAACATCTTTTTTACATCATGGTGACCAAATATTGGTGGATGCAATATTCCAAGTGTGGTCTTAACATGACTTACATGTCATGTTATATTAGGAGAACACATAAGTTTATGTAAGGATATTAAGAATTTAGAAACCACTGGTACTGATGCAATGCTAGTCCATATCAAGGACAGCCTGACAGAAAATGGCCATGGCAGGTTAGACATGGCGAGGTGGCCACAGCAAATTGTCCCATTTTGTTTTCTGGGACTGCACAACAGCTACACTAAGCATTCATGTGAAACAAAATTACTTTAGAAAGTCACATATTGTTACCGCATGAGATCTCTGCTTGCTGTAAAACATCTAAAGGTATTTGTTGGCGTTTCTTATGATATTACAGCAAGTTGGAGCTCAAATGCATATTTTTCCTAAGCCTAAATGAACAAAGAGATCTAAAGATTCATAAAAGCAAATTGGAAGGTACACAAGATAGGGAGAAAAACAAAACAAAACAAAGGATGCTTCAGAATAATTTTGAACACATCATCCTTGATCTTTTTAGTTTAAATGCCTCTTCTGATTGCTAGCATTTTACAAGAAACAGTTTTTACTTTGCTTCAATGCAGTATTTAGATGTGACCTTGGCTATTTTCTCTTCAGTTAATTTGAAAAAAGAAACAGAAGGGAGGAAGGGGGATGGAGAATCTTTATAGTCAGATATCAGAAATAGCATTTTTTTCCTCATGCACTTGCCTTTTTTGTGTCCTGATTTTCTCAGAAATCATGAATACATACAGATGCAATCTATCATTCTGAAAAAAACAGGTCCAGCATCACATTAACCTCTCGAGTAATACACAACACACATTTTTCAATATTGTTCTTTTTTTTTTTTTTACGAAAAGCTGTGCTGAATGAAAAAATAATCAGTTTTGTGAATCAGCCAAGAAGAATATGTAAGCATGTGAACTAGGTGGATACACAATATTGTTTGACATCTGACCTCTGTGTAGGAGCACCAGCTTTTAAGAAGATAAAAGTTCATACAAGCATGGACCAATTTGGTTTCTTCATCCAGCTGTAGTGCACACTCAGCGAAGAGTGCAATAGAGCAGCAACAATGGTAATGAAAAGAAAGACAAACTAGTAGACCCTGTGTGAAGGGCTCGAAAGATTAAAAACAGAGGGAACCTCAAAAGGCTGGCCCCAGAAGGAAAGGGATTTTACCATGTTTCTTTTTTGACTCTCCCTGACATTCCTTCCAGTTCCGTTCAATTCTCCAACTTAGCATCTTCACCAGGTGACAACTGGCATCTTGTCCTACAGAAATCTCTCAGGACTGGTATAAAAAGCTGCTATTCTTCTGTATACTTGTTACTCAAAGGGCTCCTTCTGAGCAGGACAGCAAACAAGTCTAGAAAGTCTTGAGTACAATAAAGCAGAGGTCCCCAACCCCCAGTCTGTGGACTGGCACCAGTCCGCAGCATGCCAGCAACCAGTCCACCCAAACAAGTGAAGCTCCATCTGTGGGATGCAGCAGCATGCAAAACCATGCCCACTCCGGTCCACTGAAAAATTTTCTCCACAGAACCAGTCCCTAGTGCCCAAAAGGTTGGGGGCCACTGCAATAAAGTACTTGCTTTGACTGATGAATCAAGAAAATAATGAAGGAAACCTTCTCTCTCCCTCTCTCTGTCCCCATCCCTCCCTCCCCCCCCCTCTCTCTCTCTCACACACACACACATACACACACACACACACCCTTAGCCATCTGTTCTGGTCCAATACAAATGTTTCATTTCCTAATTTTGAAAAAAAATAATCAGCACACACATTTGGAGATTATTGAAACTGCCAGCTAACTTGACAGTTCTTCTTCTGCAGGAATTTCCATGTCACCTGAACCTGCGGTAACAGAAGTAGATATATCTGCTGTGCTGTTGAAGCACCTTGATGCACTTGGACTGCCTGTTCTTATCCTGTTTCTTTATAGAGAGGCAGTGGAGGTAATTACAAAAAAAAATATTTATGTGAAGCCTGTTTTATTCATATATTTCAATGGAATAACCTTTGGGTTTCTAACTTGCCTCATTAGTGCTGCTAAGGAAGTTTACCAGTATGTTTAGAGACCTTGTTTTCTCTCTTTTTATCTGTATATATAAACCTTGTGTTTGTGTTACTAGGTATGTATCCCCAAGCATAAAAATACAGAGCATTTCCATTAAAATGACCTTTCCTACAGAACCATTTTTCTTCCAATTTCTGTAGAATCATAAAATTGGAAGGTTCTTTGGAAGTCAACTATCAGCATAATCTAGTATTTTCAAAGCAGGATAAAATCACTCCTGACAAATGGGTCTTCAAATTCTATTTAATTATCTCACAGAGATCTTTCTATTTGGAAACCTGCTCATTTTTAGCTAAAATGTGCTTCTCTGGGATTTTTAAAATCCATTAACTTTAAACCTATCTTCTGGAACAGCAGAGACTGTATCTGTTTTCTCTGCTATAATGTCACCTGTACATCTGCTATTCATTAAATGTGTTAAGTCCTCACCATTACGACCTTTCCTGAAGCCAGCCCTGTTGCTGCCCTGCTCCGATTGGCTAAAGCACGAGCAGAAATATAGCGGGAAAAACGCAGCCCGGCTATTGGTTTACCCCGTCTGACAGCTCCCTATTTAAGCATCTGTCAGGCGGCTACAAGTTGTCAATGTTCACGTGTGCACTGTTGTCTTGTCTTCTGTTAGCGTTCTGTTAGAAATAAAGGGTTGTATTCTCAAGCCTTGCCTCCGCGTACCTGCCTAGTTCTCAAGATAGAACAAAATGAAAATACCTGAATTCTTGAAATGATTCTACACATGACTATTGGACTTCCTCAGGCTCTAACTTAACCAATTTTCTTCTGGACTCCTCCAGTTTTACAATGTCTTTAAAATGTGTAATCCCAAAACCACAAACTCCAGATGTGTCTTGAAATTCTGTTTAGATATCATTCTTATACATCAAGTGTACACACAAGTAGAAGAAATGAGGATATTGGGTTCTTATCCTTCAAGACTGTTCTGGTTGCCTTCATATGAAAAAGATTTGTAGTTAATCTGCAGGGAGATTGCCTGAGTTGCCTTTCCTGTTTCCATGCTGAAGCACTATGCTTCTGTTACATCAGACAGGCTTTAAGACCCTCCGATCATAACTGTGTCTATAACATTCATCTAATTCTATCAAAAATTTAAACAGCAGTACATTGTTGCCAATATTATTGTTGTTTCTCTTTCTTTGTGTCTTTACATAGGTATTCCTATGTAATATATTTATGCCATTCTAAAGTCCTGCCATTCTAAAACTGATAGATTTGTGTCATGATGTTTATATCCTTTATATTCTCTGACTCTCTTTTTATTATTACTTTTGATAAAAATTCTATCTTTCAATTGCTGTATTTCATGAGTCTTTTTTCAGAAAGTGATGCCTATATAGTTGTATTTTAATGTGTTAATTAACCACGTCGTTCTGTTTGCTTTCCACATTATGTACTAAGAGTGAAAACTCTGCAACACTCCAGATTTTACTTGTTTTTTTTTTTCTTTTTGGTAGCCTCTGGATGCCCAAAGTGGATTTTGATCCAACAGTTGCTGAAAAATGATAAATGCTTTCCTTACATTTTTGGTGGAAAACACAAGTCCTGGAATGGACAACACATAGAGAACTCAGAAATAGAAACTTTTGACATATACCTAGTTTTGCTCCAAGAAGTGTTGCCAAATTTGAATTTGAAAATGACAAAATAAGACTTTGACTCTGTATCTCTATTTCAGATTTAAAGCAAGAGTTATTCAATCATTTGTATGCAACATTAGTTAATAACAATTTTGCTTTTGCCACGCAATCTCTTTTTATATTATAGTTCTCAACCATTTTATGCTATTTCAGTTACTGCCGTCCCTTAGAGCAAATAATGGGTATTTACATATATTTCATTTATAGTTTAGATTTAGAAAGGCCTGCCTGCTTTGTTATCAGAAGAGATCTCTGCCCTTGTAAGACTGGTGTGAGGTAAAGCAATAATTATTATTATTCTCTTATTCTGCCTGTTTAATAAAGCAGGTTTTGGGAAATGATTACCAGCCCATTTAAGGTATTCTTCTGAATATGAGTGTTAAGTTTCTCATTTTGTATCAGACCAAAGGTTGAGCATCATCAGTCGGGTGGCAACATTTCTTGTTTCTGTTCCTGAAACTCACCATATATGTGTCTGCTCATGAAAGTAATTTAAAAGCTGTAGTTGGCCTAAAGAGCAGCAGCTTGTGAGGTAAAGTAACACCAATTTTTGGGGTGGGGTGGGGTGCAGAAACTACACTGGTTGCCAGTAAGCTTCCATGCTCAATTCAGGGTGCAAATCAGAGATGGGTTTCAGCAGGTTCTGACCAGTTCTGGAGAACCGGTAGCAGAAATTTTGAGTAGTTCAGAGAACTGGTAGTAAAAATTCTGACTGGCCCCACCCCCATCTATTCTCTGCCTCCCAAGTCCCAACTGAGGAAATGGAGATTTTGCAGTAACCTTCCCCTGGAGTGAGGTGAGAATGGAAATTTTACAGTATCCTTCCCCTGCCACGCCCACCAAGCCATGCCATGCCAACCAAGCCATGCCCACAGAACCAGTAGAAAAATTTTTTGAAACCCACCACTGGTACAGATTATTATCTCCAAAGTCCTTTATGTTTCAGGTTCTCATTACTTTCAGTCCATCTGGTATGTACTCTTTAAATTTGGTATGGCCAGAAAGATATGCTGTACAACCCTTTCCCAGGATGGGAAGCATTGGTGCCTGGAAGCAGATCTTCTTAGTCACAGTCTAAGAAGATTGTGCTCTAGAACAGTCATTCCTGTGGTCAGATTGGCCCTTTCTTTATTGCTATTCCAGAAGATCATGGAAAAAGTTCTCAAGAAACTTGACAAGAACTTTGTCTTATTCCTGCTTCTTGTTCGTGACTCTTGATCTCAGACTGGCTGATTACCTGATTTTGGCATCCTGTGACTTTTGGGAACGTATTTGGAATACACTATTCCTCCTCCTCTTCCTTCTCCTCCTCCTCTCCTCCTCCTCCTCCTCCTCCTCTTCCTGTTCCTCCTTCTCTTTCTTCAGGCATTTGAATTCCATTCCTGTCTTCTGTTATCTGCCTAGATTGTGGTAAATAATTTTGCTTCTGAGTATAGAATTTAGGTATGCATGTCAGCAACCTTGAACAGGATACTTTCTGAATCATAGATGGTTTGTATAATTTCCCATTCACACCTACTCAAGCTTATTGTGAAGTACTTAATTCATCAAATGTATTCATTGCCCATCTCATTGTTTGAATGATATAATGATGTCATCCATGCCATGAAGCTTTATCCAAAAACCACATTTTCTAACACCTGAACTAGAAAACTCCAGTTCAAATTGTTGAAAGCTTTTTCAACATCCAAAAAGAACAAAGCTGTTTGTCATGTTTGAAGCTTCCAATATTCCAAAACATGCCTCATATTGTTGCTCAATTGTCTATTGTCTATTGGGGAGGAATCCAGACTATAAGGATTATCTGTGGTAGAAAAAAAATCTTACCCTCTGCTGTTTTATTTATTAAATTTGTATTTTCAATTTATAAATTTATTTATAGATATTGCCAAGAGCTTGACAAACTTTTCTTATAACACAAAGCACTAGAAGTACAAAACATGGAAGGCAAGTCCCTAAACTATGTCAAACATTTTAACAGATCAACATGGAAAAAGGATTTATGTCTGTGTGTGCAAACTTTCTTCCAAACCTACTTTACAAATAATGAAGTGTAATAAACTATTAGATTAGATGGTAATAGTTTCTTACAAAATGGGCACTATATATTTAAGGGCATTTCTATAGTACTTCAATTTTAAGCTCCTAATGAATGTCAAGTTCTTCCAATGTTTTTAAAGTTTAGTTGTTCTCTGATTCACAGGCAATTTAAAAAGTTTTCTCTCACTGAGTAGATACAGAGTTGAACAATACCGCATACTGTAGTTCTCCTTTGCAATGGACTTCTAATTTCAAATAATCTGCTGAAGTTAGCAATTTGCTGATCAGAGTAAAGTAAAGGCAATTAACCTAATTATTCCTATGACATGGATTTTTTTAATGCAATTTCTGATAACCAAAGAGAACAATAACAAAAATACTGAGAAGGCCTATTTCCCCAGGAGTACCAGTGGAGGGCATGTTTCAAGGAGAGTTAAGATGTCCAGAGACAGCTGTTCAAAGACAACAAATGTGGAATTGTATATGGAGTTCTTAATCTATAGATTGTTATGGAAGTATTTTCTTTCAAGTCATACTTAGTAACAATAAAAAAATCTCCAGAGACAGATACAGAGGGAGGGAGAGAGTAAGGGAGAGAGAAAGAAACAGAAATCTTATGGTTCAAGGAATCCATTCCCACAATTTCCGAATAAATTATTAATAGCAATTTTGTGCATGCTTTTCTGTTTAGCCAATGCTTTTTATTCATTTCATCCAACGGAATACTGACAATAAATTATAAAAGGGGCAGCAGGACTCTGCCCATTTATTTGTCCATCAGCAAGATAACTCCTTGGAGAAAGAACAAAATTCATTCTTTATGACAAACTTAATCTTAGCAAGTAAATGTTCCACTGGAATTTCTAATGGACCCTCCAGCATTTTCATTGTTATGTCAAAGCTTTATGTCTCCGTATACCTCTCAATATGTCTACGATATCCACATTGTTGACAGGGTTATTTATTCATTGTATTATTTGAAAGATAGGCAGAAAGGAGGTTAATGCCAATTAAGACTCTATGATTTTGCCTATTAAAAGATGACTTTGCAGCTCAACACCCATTTTCCTAGACCTGTCTGTCTGTCTGTACATACATACATACATACATACATACATACATACATACATATATACATACAGACACACACACACACATTTCTGTCTCTCCATTTGTGTGTGTACGC